CGCACAATGGAATAATATACAACATTCCCAAAATCAACACATACATATAAAAAAAGTCCCGTTCCTCCATCTCATCCATACAAGGAATTACTAGTTCACTACCTAGTCCCATAATCCTTTACAAGGAATGCACTTTAATTACATTAAGTTATAGTCCATGAAATATAGCTAAAATTTAAAAGTCCATAACTTACAGCATTATACAAATACAACCAATGTTTCACAAAATAGTTAAGATTACATTTACAAAATATTAAAGTTTTAATACAAAAGATAGTAAAATATAGATCTCTAATCCCGTCTAAACTTGTGGTGGATTGTCCGCCACCTCTTTCCCGTGTCCTGAAAGTATTAAAGTAATGGGGTGAGCCAGCCGCTTAGTAGAAAGTGTCTAAGACACACCTCATATGACCCTGTGAATCCACGCAAAGAATAGAGTACAAGTAAACAGGATCATACCCTGGGAAATTAAGCAACAATAATATCAACAAAAATGTAAACAAGTCATCCGACCACCAAGTATGCACTATGTGCCAATGAAATGTCATGCCATGCCATGCAATGTCGCTCTCCATTTCTGAAACAATACTGTTTCACCCTTTTCAAACTGTTAATGCAGTCCGACCCATGGCAACTCCATGGCGTCATGAGACGAGAATTGGCTAGCTATCCACGACTACATGGCAATTCCAAGGCGTCGTTTCGGCCTAAGTAGCTCAATCTCGCTAGGGTCTCTCCCTAACCTCTCTAGACCACACTAACGCTCCGGACCACTAGGCAACTTTTAGGTGTCCGGATTTTCGCAAACATTTTTTGAAAATAATTTTCCCAAAAATGATTTTCTTGCTTTTCAAAACATTTTTCCCCTTTTTCTTCCCGGTGAAATGCATCAATGCCTCATGCCATACTAAACCATGAATATACGTAATTTTCCATAGATCACATTCAACTATAACAATGTCAATACCGCATGCTTTCAAGAAAATTTTCAAGGAATCATCTCATTATTTCATAAAAATTAAATCTCAGTAATTATTTACATACATGTCATCCAAAAATTTTAGCATATCATACTTCATCACATCACATCAATAACATGTATTTTTAGCTCAAGAAACACATTAATATATAAAATTCTCAATGCCATAAACAAAACAATCAAGTTGAGCATGCTTATAAACAAATTAAAGGGGAAAAATTCACTAAAGCCAAAGAATACGTGTATTAGAGCACTCTTACCTCAAATAGGTGAAAAAGCCTTAAAATGCAAAAAAAAAAAAAAAAAAAAAAAAAAAAAAAAAAAAAAAAAAATTGAATTCCCAATTGGTGGCCAAATGAAGATTGACTCCGATCAAAATGACGGTTTCGATAAGCTCTCCAACTTTGTCTTAAGCGGCAATACCAAATTCCCAACAATTCGATGTAGATTAAGCTTGAAACTTGTGGAAGAAAAAAAAAAAGAAAAAAAAACAAAGATACAGGGAGAGAGAGATTTACGCAGAGAGAGAGAGAGAAAACTGATGGATGGTCAGTCAATGGCCATTAATTTAGGCCTTTTGTGAGGGTTTAATAAAATGGTGGGGCCCACTCACTTTTTAAAAATATCTTTTAACTTTAATTTATATATTGTACATACACTAAACTCACCACAACACATGTACAAGCACATAAACCCATAAAATGTATCAAATAATAATGTGTGAAATGTAATTGACCCAAAAATAAAATTCTCGTACTCAACACTCTGATAGCGGGTCACGCCTTGGACCTCCCGACCCGAAAAATTAAAAAAATGCCGAAATGGCAAAAGATGCATTTCTAAGAGTTCTGAACTCAAGGAAATGTCACAATCAACACTCTGACACATCCGGCACACCTCACGGTATTCGATACGCAAAATGAGAAAAGACGAAAATACCTTCGAAAAAAATTAGAAAATTCCTGAAAATGAAAAATGGCAAAAATCGAAAATATTACAAGAAGCTAGAGGATACAAATGATGTAGAATGAGAATTATTTGATAGGAAGACTTTTGGCTCCGTCAGATTGACGTTATCAAAGTAAGTCGTCTTCAACATCAAGAACAAGAAAACGGCAAAGTCTCTCATGTTAGCCCTTTCTAGTATGTATAAACAACCTTCTACAGTGAACAAGGTGCACTTGATCAAGAAGTTGTTCAACATGAAGATGGTCTTAGGTGGTAAGTTCAACTAACATCTAAATGCGTTTAACGAAATAGTTGGGCAATTAGAGTATGTTGATATCGACTTCAAAAATGACGTACGAGCACTGCAAATTCTAGGGCAATTACCCGAGTGTTGGAGTGGCACAGTTACAACGATCAGTAGCCCTGCAGGGAAGACCAAGTTGAAGTTTGATGAAGTTGTGAGCATGGTTCTGACTGAAGAAATCAAAAGACAAATAGCAAGGGTTTCCGCCAGTAGTTCGACATTGAATGTTGAAAGCAAAGGCAAGGGTTCAAACAAAAAGAAGGGCAACGGTAATAGAAATAGAAGTAGATCTAAGTCAATGAATGGAAGGACATAGTCTCAAAATTTCAGGAATTCCACAGATCTAAGTGACGTTGAGTGTTGGAATTGTGGAAAGAAGGAACATTACCGTGTTGATTGCAGACTTCCAAAGAAGGGAACTGAGAGAAAAACTGAAGCAAATGTTGCCTCAGAAAAATCAAATGATGCATTTACATGCTCTTTGGAGAGCAAGGTGATGTCATGGGTTTTAGATTCCAGCGCATCGTTTAATGGCACCTTAAGTAAAGAACTATTTAATAGTTATGAACCGGGTAACCATGACAAGATGTATCTTGGTGATGATCAGCCTTGCAACGTTGTTGGCAAGGGTGAAGTGAAAATCAAGTTGAATGGATTAGCTTGGAAATTAAAGGATGTGAGACACATCCCTGACTTGAGGAAGAATCTGATTTCGGTGGGACAATTGTTAGAGGAAGGTTTTGTTATAACCTTTAATGAAGACTCATGGAAAGTTTCTAGAGGCACATAGTAGGAAATTTGGCACTCTCTACAAAACTACCTGCGCTTGTGGGTCTATAGAAGTTACAGAAAATAGAGAAGATCACAACCTTTAGCACCAGAGACTAGGTCACATGAGTGAAAGGGGGCTCAAGACTATGCACTTGAAGAGGAAACTACCAGACATACGGGCAATTGATATTTACTTCTGTGAGAGTTGCGTGATGAGCAAGCAGAAGAAGATGGTCAGTTTCAAGGAGAATGACAGAGATCTCAGAAAGGAGAAACTTGAGCTAGTTCACACAGATTTTTGGCCAGCCACTGCCTCATCCATTGGCGAAAAATCCTATTTCGTGACTTTCATTGATGACCACACGAGGAAGGTATGGGTTTATTTTTTGAAGCACAAATCTGAGATATTTGATGTGTTCAAGAAATGGAAGGCCATGGTAGAAAATGAGACACGTTTGAAGATCAAGAGCTTGAGGTCCGACAATGATGGTGAGTATGAAGACATCGGATTCAAGAAGTTGTATTTTGATAATGGGATCAGATTAGAAAGGATTGTGTAAGAAACCCCGGTGCATATTCTCACATATGCACATGTACAACAACATCCAAGCCTCCAAATTACGCAACTATTTGAGGTCCATTACAAGAATCCCATGTTTACATTTCCCACGTATAATAATATAATAAATGGAGTGCTTGAGAACTAACCTCCCAACCGTAACACTATTACAACATATTATCCGCAATGCAACACTATCAGAGCATGTTATTGGCAACGGAATACATACTACATAGTGAAGCATTATATATTCTACATTGTGAAGCAAACAAAGACCAGCAAGGGACACAAATACTAAGAATCCATTTTGCAAAAACATTACAGATTCTACATATGAAAGCAAACAAAAACCAGCAAGGGACATACTAAAAATCCATTTTTCAAAAGCATTATAGATATTCTTCGTATGGAAGCAAACACATACCACCATGGGCTTCCCTTCATCTGTATCTCTGAAGTTGATCCGAGGCTCAATCCAAAGAGTAGATAACGATTTTCAGCTCATCATTTCCCATGCTCTTTTGTTCTTCTTGAATTTGCCTGGCAGAGTTTTCAACAGCACGGCTACACCATCGCACCTGGATCATCTCTAGAGTATCTATGTTCCCCAAACAAGATGGAATCTCCTCAAGGCGTTGACAGTCATCAAAAACCAGTGTCTGAAGGTTGGCAAAGTGATTACTGGAGGTTTCCCATTGCTGAATATCTATGCCTTGAAATTTCAAGAATCTGAGTCTGTGGAACTTGCCATCATTTGTTTCCCATCTTGCTCCCTCAAATGCTTTAAATGATAATTTAAGAATTTCAAGGTTAGGTAAGCTTCCAAGGGTCGACATTTCCTCCCAAGGTAGACGACAGTATGACAAAGTGAGGCTTTTGAGATTTGGGGGTAACATACCAAGATGAGGAAGCCTTCCGTACCCATCGTGAACTAAATTCAGTGTATTAAGGTGGATTAGAAAGTCCAATCTAGGACAACTAGTACAGTACTGACATTTCAGTTTCTCAAGATTGGGAAAGCATTCCAAGACCCGACTGTCACCATTATAAAGATATAGCTTACCTATGGTTTTTAAGTTATGCAATACCAAAGGATTCCCATGACTGGTTTTCTTTCTCTCTCTTCTCCATCCACCAGGTATCTCAATTAGCCGCCTAGTATACACATGCCTCAACTTTACCATCTTCCAGATATCCTGTAAAAGCAATGAACCTTTCGGTCCATCAACAATAAGAGTTTCTAAGACGTTCTGGGATTGAAATTCTGGCAATGGCTGGGAAAACTCATGCACAGGCTCAACATAAAGTGCCAAATACCTCAAATGAATTAGCCTTTTAATTTCCTTTGGAATTATCAAGATTTTAATGGATAATAAATTCAACACCCGAAGAAGACTATAGGCTTGATAAACAAATGATATACTCATCTCGGGTAAGTTTTATAATGAGCGGCCAAAGGACAAGAAAGATCGGATGTGTAACTCATAATGCTTCGAAGAAGTATAACCAACAAGGTTATCATGGATGCACATGCGACGTTGCTGATGTGCAACGGGATTTGAAGAAGCCGCCACCCCTTTGTACCAAGGAATTTGTCGAAGAAAATTCTCTTCATGAGCTTTTCTCAAGCATAAATCACGCAAAAGATCATGGACACGACACGCTTTGACCCCACCATTAGACCTTTTTCTAGAAACAATTACTAGACTTCTGTCAATTAAATCCATCAAGTAATCCTCTGCCAATTCCTCCAAGCTTTTCTGGTCATTTTGTCCATTTTGTCGTATAAATCCCTCTGCAACCCATAACCATATCAATTGCCTTACATGAATTTCATAGTCTTCAGGGAATGCTCCGAAATAGAGGAAGCATGGTTGCAAGTGATGAGGCAAGTTATTGTAACTTAGTGCTAACGTATCCATGTACTGCTCTAAGTCACTCACAATGTATGAACTTATATTTTCAGCAACATAGCTCCACCAATCTTGTGTCTTGTCTTTCTTTGCTAGCAGTCCTGATAACACAACAATTGCAAGTGGTAATCCTCGACACTTTTTTGCGATTATCTTTCCAATTTCAATCAAATCAGTGGGACAACCTTCTTTCCGAAATGCTCTAATTTGCAGTAGATCCCAACTTTCTTCATCATTTAGAAAATGCAAATTGTAAGGTTCAGCATCCAAAGCCTCTGCCACATTTACATTTCGACTGGTGAACATTATTCTACTTCCATTATTATCATTCGGAAAATATCTTTTCAAGTCATCCCAAGCTTCGCTATTCCATAAATCATCCAAGACAATGAGATATCTATAACCCTTTAGGCGTTTGTAAAGCTCACCGCCTAACTGATCGTCATTTAGTTGGTCAACGTTACTTGGAAGTTGGATTTGTGCAGAAGTGAAAATGCTAAGCAGCAAGTCTCTCTTGTGGTACACTTGAGATACATAGCTCCATGCTTGCTTGTAAAAGTGATATTTAGTGGTGGGATCATTGTATACTTTATTGGCCAAAGTTGTCTTGCCAAGTCCTGCCATTCCAATGATTGGGATGACTTTTCGTTGGTTTTCACATATGGTAAGCAACTCCAGTATCTTTGTTGTATCATCAACAAAACCCACAATGATTAGTTCCTCTATGATGGGGCTGGTGGCTCTTAACAACCTTTGATGGGAAGACTTTCCAATTTGTGGCTCCCCGATGCCATACATGTTCCATTTATAAATCTTCATCAGCTCTTCTTTGATAGAATTAATCTCTGTGATGGCATTATTCAGCTTTATCTTAGAAGTAGCCAGAATTTCATTCCATGGTATGGGAATATTTACCATTGATGATGAAGATGCTACAATATTTACCATTGATGATGAAGATGCTACCCTATTTACCCTCCTCACGGGTATAGGCACTTCAAGCATGGATTTCATGGAAGCAAAGAATGCAAAGAAGTCAAAACTATTTTCAACTTCGTGAGTGACATCTCTAATTCTTGCCACCAGATCTTTCACCTCTTGCTCATTTCGTTTCCCTTCTGAATCCTTGAGAAACTGTCGTAGGAATTGCATCTCCTTATAAAACCATTCGACTTGTTCCTTCTGGATGAGTTCCTCTAGATAACGATCAAGAATCAACTGCTCCCAGTTCTCCAAGAAAAATTCAAAAGCAGTGGACTTTGATGGATGAGTTTGTTTTTGGTTTTTATTAGTCATCCTTTTATCGCAGTCTATGATCAACTGCTCCAAGTTCTCCAACAAAAAATCAACAGCAGTGTCAGTCATACTTTTATCTCCCTCCAAGCTCACTTGTTTCAAAAATTTTGCAAAAGAAATTGGTAATTCAACTCTGTATGATGATTATGCAGACCGTGCAACTGCAAAGACAAGAAAAAACTGGTAGGTTAGCATTACACGACTAAAAATCACGACTCGTTGGGTATTTAATATAAATAATTTAATTACTATTTAACATAACGATCTCCACTTTCCACTTCAAAGAGTGGCTGTGATTATATATATTATTTTGAAAGATGAATATTTTCGTCTATAGGAAGGTGTGATGTTTTTTTGTTTTTTGTTCGAAAACAATTGATCACATACTTTGAAAATGGGGTACCTGTTTTTGAGTAAGAGACAAAATTTACAGTGCAATTCAATTTAATTATTAAATTTTCGTACAATGTGAAAGGAGTTGAATTATTTTTTTACACACTTTTTAAGTAGGATAAAAATTCTATACGGAATATACAGTAAATGTGTTTTCTATTTTTATATCTTATTTCAGTAACTTCAAAATCTTAATTTTATTTAGTCATTTATTGTAGGTCTCTCCAATGACATTAATAATTGATTTTGAGCCAATTATTTAAGTGAATTGATCAATGCGTTGTTATTACTCTTTTCATTCTTGTAAAGTCTACAAAAATGGCAAGACATAGAAGCCAATATCACAAGTATTTAGATCTCAATTGTTCACCAGACATAAAATACTTGAAGAAAATATCCCTAGCTGAGAAAGAAGATATCAATACGAGAGCATCATTTAACATATCATGATACAAAACATCCACGTCCACAATTAGCGGAGAAAAAAATATCTTCAAATACACTAATTTATTTTAAAAACCTAACAGTTTGAGTAGTCCAATTTTATTTTTATTTTATTATTATTATTTTTATCGCTAAAGAAAGAAAATTTGAGGGAAAGAGAAGGAAAGTTGATCGATCAAAATTAAATGGGTCACATATAAGTGATTTAATGGGCAACTCAACAGACGTAAAAATTTATATCAAATTCTAGCAAGAACTGTCACACAATTTTCTATTAAAAGTACTAATCCCCAAAATGAAAACACAATCTTCTACTAATAGATATTATCTCACACGCACAACAATCTATATATATATATATATATAAATATATGTGTGTCTGAGTGTGTGCATCTGCGTGTATATATAAATCTAAAAAAATAAGAAGGATTAAAAAATAATAATAATAAAACTCTTAGTTAAGCTTCTTACCTTGTTTCAAGTTCTCTCCCCTGGTGTCAATCAAAATGCATGCTGGAGTTCATTAGCTGCAACAAAATCAAATGTTCTTGGGGTTCCGAACCAGCCACCAATGAAGTTCTGAGAGGACATAAACGGTACAATCCAACCCCATCCGCCATCTCTATTGATGGTTATATAAATTCATATTTAGAACAATATCATATTCAGAATTATAAAAATTCATACTTCTCCATTGATTTCACCATGTAAATTTAATAGCTGACCATTTCATATCTCAGATGGTGTACCTGGTCATCACCATACTCATTCATCATTGACAAAACATCGCATACAAAATTTGAAAAAATAAATGGGCTTGCACCAAAGTCATATTTCTCTGGCATGCACTATTTTCATTGACAAAACACCACATACAAAATTTGAAAAAAGAAATGGGCTTGCACCAAAGTCATTTTCTCCGGCATGCACTATTTTAAATAAATTAAAAATAATAATAATAAAAAAATGAGTTACCATACACATCAAAATACAATTCATGATCCGCATTAAAAAGTCACGAGCAGTCATCATCATCATGAATGATATTACGGAACGCGTTTTTGTTTGTCAAAATTTATCATGACCTACCCTTGTAAGTTATAAGCCCTACTTATCACTTTACTTTCTCACTTTCATATATATTCAGCTTATCTTTTATTTATTTATCTCCTAAATCATCCGGCTTACCTTTCTCCCTCTCTCAAAGTTACATAGAAAACCTTTCACAACAGATCAAATATTTAAAGAAGTTCCGTGTAATCTTAAGGGGCACATAAACCAATCTCACAAAGTTTTCAGTTCTAACATCACAGCACCCGCTTTCACTAACCAAAAATTCTAAATAGGAAATTTTTAAGTAATCATGACATTACGCGTCAATTGACACATTTTTACATATATATATATATATATATATACACACACACACACACACACACAATATATACACACACACACACAATATATATATATATTCAATTACACAATCTGATCTCATTTTACTCCAATCTCACTATACCGTAAATAAAATCTTAATTTGGAAGTCATAATGCAAATTCTTTCTTTCCGGTCTCTCTCCTTTCTCTCCATTTCTCCATTATTTCTCTTAAAATTTTGTCTTAAAAATTATACCTGACTATCATATCATTCATGATACTGTATATAAAAATCATTCAAAATATTTATCATTTCTCAAGACTCACATTTGTAATTGAAAAAAATAAATAATAAAACAACCAACTAAATACCGTAGCAGTCATTTTAATATCTACTCTTCCTTCCGGACTTGCCCACCACCCCACTTCCTCTTTAATCCTAATTTTGACCTTTTTATATCTAAAGTCTCTCTCAACTCTCAAGTATTCATATCTACTAGGTGAAAGTTTTCAAAAGATGCTATGTTTGTTTGACTGTAAAATATTTTACCTAGTTCAATTATTTATATACCAATGATAATAATTATTTAATAAGAAATATAAAAAAATAATCAGTTGATTTAAAAAAAAAAATGATAAGAAATCGAAACAAGTCTTTCTATCATCAAATGCAACAAGGGATTTTTTTTTTTTTGGTATCACTTTTTAAGGGTTTAGAATGTAATACTACATGTTAATCACTAGCCAATAATGGTGACAAAAAAATATAATAATAAAAGCAAATTGAAGAAATCAAAAATAAGAAATTGTATGATTGTTGTTAAGGAAGAAATTGGCCTCGTGCCTTTCCCCCCACAATAAGTATTAGGCTTATTGGCTCCTCTCTTAAGAGTCGTTTTGTTTCGGGTCAATATAGCAACACATGTAAAAAGGCTCATCTCTTTCTCTCTAAAAAGTCTCTCTTTATTAAAGGGTTCCTTTCTTTCTCTCTTTAGACGCCCTGTTTCTCTCTCTAAACTCTGTCTAAACTTTTTTTGTTCACTATGTAACTCTTTCATATACTTAATTGACGCTTTCGATGCCATATGCTTTTGTTGAGGAGGTTCGGAAAATGACTTTTGGAGGATTAATTGGTAAGTTATTTTTGCTAAGTTTTGAAAAATTATTTTCTTCGGTAAAAATTTTTCAATAAATTTGAGACTATCAAACACTAAAAAAACACATAACTCAAACAAACAAAGCATGTTCCAACAAAAATTGTATTATCATGTGAAATTGAAAACAACAACCAATGCATATGAATTAATTGACAACTCCTAAAGTCTCTCTAGTAGTCTCACTTTAATCCAAATTGAATTGGAAGAAAATTTGGGTGATGCCACTGGCCAAATTGATCAATATATAAAATAAACGGGAAGGAAAAGATTGTAGAGCTGGTAAGTTTCCTAATAATTTTTATCTAAAAGAAGAAAATTGAAAAAGTAAAAAAAAATAAAAATAAATAAAAGACGTAGCCAACAAGGCTATTACCAAAATTTTCATGATAAATATCATGAAATCTATTTCATGATGCATATATATATATATATTCATATACAGAACAATATCATATTCAGATATATACTAGCTACTCGCCCAAATTGATCTATATAAAATAAACGGGAAGGAAAAGATTATAGAGCTGGTAAGTTTCCTAATAATTTTTATCTAAAAGAAGAAAATTGCAAAAGTAAAACAAAAAGAAAAAATAAAAGGCGTAGCCAACAAGGCTATTACCAAGTTTTTCATGATAAATATCATGAAACCTATTTCATGATACATATAAATAAATTCATATACAGAACAATATCATATTCAGGTATATACTTGATATATAAATTCACATTTACAATGAAACTTATCCCATGATTTGACCACGTCCACGTCTATTTAATAACTAACCAATTCATATCTCAACTAAAAAATTTGAAAAAAAGAAATAGGCATGCACCAATCTCTGTCATGCACTATTTTAAATAAATAATTAAATTAAAATTTTCCAACCTCGTTTTTTGACTATACTTCACGCGTTTCTAATTCTATATATCTACTCCTTTGAAAATCTGACAAGAGACAAGGGAAACCTTCTGAACCCCATCTTAGTTGAGAATAATCTTTTCAACTCTTCAGAAAATATATGCTTCATTTATAGTTAATAATGCGTGTGTATTATATACATACATACATACATACATATATACGTATATATCTACTCTTAACGAGGTAATTCATCAACAATGGCGGAGATGCCAGACCCTACCCTCACTCTCAATTTTTTAAACCAAGTAGCTCATCATCTTCTAGATGAAATAAGCACTTCTACAGACAATGAAGAATACCACGCTAACCAGCTCACGAATTTCATGAGAGATGTAGCGAGTTCAATGTCTTTCCGGGTGGTGCCCGAGGCTGTCCGAAGACAAGTTGTGGGTGTTTAATTTGGTGTGAGACAACTTTCTCACCCTGCAGTAAGCGCTCGGCGTCTCTCTCTGTCAAGACTCCCTTAATTTCTCACTTCATTTCTTGTTAAAAATTTCTTTTGTAAATTTACGATCCGTTATAGAAGGATACTCCAATTCACGCTGACTGGTTTGAAACATTAATTAAGTCTATATTTAGCTACATGAAATTAGAGTCTCTGAGTTAGAATTAGTGAAATTGAGGAAAATTTATGTTCAGTTGCTTTTCCATATAGCTTAAATCTATTTGGCATGGAAATCTAATTCAATAGCAGCTTACCATTCACCCCAAAAAGCTGAAAAATTGATAAATTCATTCTCTAGCTTACCCGAAAACCACTATGTATTTTATATATAA